AAGGAAGGAAGGAAGGAAGGAAGGAAGGAAGGAAGGAAGGAAGGAAGGAAGGAAGGAAGGAAGAAAGAAAGAAAGAAAGAAAAAGAAAGAAGGAATTCTAGTGGCTTGCCTCTTTCCCTGGTCTCTCTGCTTTCACCCTTGCTCCCCTGCAGTCTATCCAGATGGAGGCTTTTAAATATGTCAGATCACCTCCCTCCTCCAGACAAAACCCTCCCACCACCCCTGTCTCCCTCGCTGTACGTGCAAAGTCCGCACAATGACCCGCATAGCCCCTGCCAACCCCGACAACTCCCTCCTTCCACTCCCCCTCTTCATCTGCTCAGTTCTGGCCATACTGACATCCTGCTGCCCCTTGAACATACCAGGTACAGTCCTGCCTCAGGACCTTTGCACATGCTGTTCTCTGTACCAGAAATTATTGCGCACTCTCCATCTCCCCATGGCTCACTTCCATCTTCAGATTTAACTCAAATGAGGCCTTCTTTCTCTGTGAGGCCTTTGAACCATCCCTCAATCCTCTTCCCAGATTTATGTTTCTTTACAGCATTTGGTACTATCTGGCATACTTGTTATCTCGTGTATTGCCTGGCATCTTACCAGAATCTAAGCTCCAGAAGGGCTGGGATTTTGTCTACGTTCATTTCTGGGCTCCTAGCCCCTCTTACATACCAGATGCTCAAAAACCGTTTGTGAATGATATGCTTTTGAACAGCTGTGTAATAGTCCATGGTCTCTATCACTCAAATATGCCGTAGACTCAACAAGCAATGATAAATGACAACACTGATTTGATCCGGGGGATAGGACTGTGGAAAATATTTTTCTTGTATTTCTGTTATTTTAAGATAGTGCTGGCAATTTACAAAGACTTCCTAAAGTGAGATGGTGGAGAAGAGCGAGACCCCAGAACATGTTCATGAGCAGAATCAGGAACACGTGAGGCTGAGGGAGGGGGAAGCATGCAGACCTGCGCTGGGAGGCACATCAAAGCCACCACCAGGGGGCAGAATTGCTTAAAGATGATTTTTAAATATGGGGAGCAGAGTGGGGAGAACCCAAACAGAGAATGGACAGGACATTTACTGAGCACCTAGTGTGTGCCTGCCTGAGGCTCCTAGTACTAAGTATCTTGCTTAAGGTCCACGATTCCCCTATGATGTATGTACAAATAACAGGCACAGGTCATGATCTGAACTCTGCCCTGCTAAGCTCTCTGACCTCATCCCCGACCGTGCCCCTCGTTGCTCACTCAGCTCCAGCTCATGGACCTCCTTGCTGCTCCTCTAATGTCTCCAACACACTCCTGCCTCAGGGCCTTTGCAATGACCATTTCCACTCCTTTGCACGTTTTCCTTCCAAATACCCACATCTTCAACTCCCTCATTTCCCTCAGGGCTTTGTTTAAATGTCAGCTTCTCCCCAGGGTTTCCTTTATCTAACACCCTATATTATCTACTTATTTATTAGTTTTGCTTATTGTCTGTTTCTCCCTGCTAGAATGAATATAGGTTGGCTGTTTGTCCACTGCTGAGGTCAGAAAGAAGCCAAGACAGGAACACAGGACCTCAGCCTGAGTGTTAAATTTTAGTGTGGGGCCCAAGGGGGAGTTCTGGATTCTGACTATACTGCTAACTTGCTGTATGATCCTAGGCAGTAGCTGTACCTCTCTGAGCCTCAGGGACCCCTTCTGTTTACCAAGGACCTTGCTCCTGGTTATCTTTACAAGGGTCAGTGGACTGGGTCACAGCTGCACTGGAGGCCCCCACCTTCCTATCCCCAGTCCTTGCTCTGAACCTGGGAGCTTCCAGAACATTTTTTTTTATCCAGGGCCGCAGACCTGGCATATGGGAAGTCTCAATAAATATTTAACAGTATCAGGTAAATGAATACATAAATGAGTGCACTCCCTTCCCCTGTCTGAGCCTCAGCTTCCTCATATGTGAAATGGGGATAATAATCGTCCCAACCTCATAGGGCTGTTTCTAAGAATTAAATGAGGCTAATCCTTAAATTAAATGAGGGTAAATCCTTATGTTCGTGGCACATAGTAGGTGATTAATAACTTTTGCCTAATGAGTTCCAACCTGCTTCGTAGGAGACCCACTGCTGGGGGCCCAGCTAAAGAACACTTGAACATTCAGAAGACAGTTAACATGAATTCTTTATCCCCACTAGTGCTGATTATATAGCTAGCCCAGAGATTTTTAATAGACCCATTTCACAGACAGGAAACTGAGGCATGGAGTATAAAATAATTTGTTCATTTCATAATGTATCTGTTGCGCACTGATATATCCCTAGTATCTTCAACCGTGCCTGGCACAGAGTAGGCATAAAATAAGTAGCTTCAAATGAGTTAACTGAGTGCCTACTATGTGCCAGGCACTATAGTAAGTGCTGCTTAGGTGGTATACCCCAAAACACATGACTAGTAGATGGCAGAGGTAGGCCTCGAACCCAAGCCCATCTGTGCTCCAAAGCCTGTGCTCCTTCCCCCTGGGTCCCTCCCTGAAGCACAGGAGGACTACCCGGAGGCCCCCAGGCCCCTCCGCCTCCAGGGCTGGGGGCGAGATCAGGTCCCCGACTAGTGTCTGAGCATGAGTCACCAGCAAGGTGAGCACTGCTCTCGCTCTAGCCAACCTCAGCCCCGGGCATCCAGCTTGGGCACCCAGCTATGTGCCTGGGGTTGGTGCCAGGAAACCTCGCCTCCCCTGATCCACAACCCCGAGGCTGCCAGGGTCACCACTCAAGCCTGGGTGACCTTCCTATGACGGCCTGGCCACACACAAAGGAGAAGGTGGCCTTTGGTGCCCTTGGCGGGCTTAATCTCCAGACAGGAAGCCAAGGACCCTGCCAGCAGCCCCGGACGGCGCACCCCATTCTTCGGTTGCCTGCAGGCAGGGTGGGGACCCATTCAGCAGGACTTAGCAGATACTGTCACCTGTCTAAGCACTAGCCCCTATATACCTTGTTTCCTGCCTGATGACAACTGGCCAGGGTGGGACCCACCAAGTCACCTCTGCCACCCTAGTGTCCTGCCTAGCCACTCATTCACCAGCAGCCACCTGGTGACCCCTGGGCCCTTTAAGCTGTTGCTAGAATAGCAGCTATTTTGACCTACTGGGAGAGGTCACCAGGTCCATCTCCTGCCTCCGCGCCACATTGTGCGTCACCTCCCCTCCCCGACAATTCTCATGTTTCAAAAGAAACTAGAAATCTGGCTTTTTATGTAAGGCCTCCCCCTATATATGTAGCTGGTGACTAATGAAGCTCACGAGATACTAGGCAGGCCCAAAGACCATGGGTTTCTAGTTCATGAGTTTTCTCCAAAGAGAAATGAGACTTTAAATCTAAGTTTCTAGGACTCGAAGTCTTTGACTCCAGGACCACGAGCAGGAATGAAGACCTCTTCTCAAACTGGAGACTTGTGTTTGGGGTGAGGGAGCTGGAGGGTGCATGCTGCGGGGATCCCTACGCCCTCCCGCCTCCCGCCAGGCCTCTCACTTGGGGAAGCTGCTGCCGATGAGGATCCGGCCCAGGGGATACTCCTTGCCGCCCACTCTGACGGGCGGGCTGACATCCAGGTTGCCGAAAGAGTCAAGGCTGGAGGCGCCAGCGAACAGGATCTCCCGGGTTACATATCCGAAGTCAGGACCCTAAGGGAGGACCAGCAAGCCCCCCCCCCACCCCAGAAGGAGGGGTCAGTTAGGACAGGAAGTGACACCTCTTGGGCGGGGAGGTGGGGGGATGCAGTTAAAGTCCAAGTCTGCAACAGGACAATAACAAGAAAATCCCCAAATGTTGGGAAATCAGGCAATACACTTCTGAAGAATCCTTAGGTCAAAGAAGAAATCCAAGTGGAAACTAGACAATATTTTGAAGTGTAAGGTGAAAATCTTGCTTCCACTTCCAGCTAGGAAAAGAACGGCAAATTAGACGCAGGGCAAGTGGAAGGGGGGACAGAGTAAAGATGAGGGCAGAGATGAACAGGGAATGCCCCGACCACGTCAGGCCCAGGCTTAGGGTCAGGCCCTTGGTTGATGCAGACTCACCCTGCAGGGCTCACTGTCACCTGCGCTGGGACCTGGCCCCGGCCGCTCCAGGCTGAGGTAAATGCCCTGCTCCGCGTTCCCGTGAGCTCCCGGACTTCCCCCTCCCTGCCCCGACCTGGATGCGGGCACTGTCCCAGTGCCGGGGGTGTGGGGGCTGGGAAACGGGCAGAGATGGCGAGTTGTAGGCCTCAGGCCCACCTCCAAAGCCAGTTCAGTTCGGTGGTGGGACCGTGGAGACAGTCCCTCTGGTTTTGCCTCTTGGTGCCACTAGCTTCTTGGCCTAGGGTAAGTTCCTTAACCTCTCTGAGCCTCCAGAAGGAGGGGCTAAACACAGCAGCTATCCACAGGACTGGGGATTCGAGAAGTGACCGTGCAAAGCTAGGGGCGGGTGCCTGGAACGCAGCGCATGGTTGCTGGCACTGCTCTCGTCCCCATCCTGTGCGTGAGAGGCAGCATGGGGCCTGGCCCGTGGCAGGTGTTCAGAAAACATTTGTTATCTGAAAATAGGCCCCACCTCATAAAGGCAAGAGTCATGAGGGCTCACTAACAGCGCGTTCCCCCACGATGCAGTTTGGTCTCCCTAGGGCTGACCCCTCTGTTGACTTCCACCCACAGGGGGGAGAAGGGCTCCCCAGGAGGACTTTAGTGGCCTGCCCTTCCCAGAACAGGGGGGGTTTGCATGTTGTTTGCATGTCATTTGCATGTTCTATCCCAGTTCCCCCCTGACTCCCCATTTCCCCACCACTTGTGTCCTTTAGCCCCCGCTAAAGGACAAGGACCAGGACCAGTGAAATCCTACGGGAGGAGCCCCCCCAAAGGACCTCCACTCCACCCTTTGCCACATACCAGGATCCGCTTATAGGGGAAATGCTTCAGACCTCTGTTTCGGGGAGAGTCAAAGACCACCGGGAAAGACTTGTGAGGGGCCTCGGTGTAGCCAAACTCCATCTCGTCCTAGGAGGGGAGAAGAGATCACGGTGGTGTCCCCAAGTGTGATTTTCCAAACGGGGTGATCCCCTCATACCTGGACCAGGGCGGGGCCACAGATGCTCCCTAAGACCTGGGTGTGCATGGGTCAGGGTTACAGGTGAGGCCTCTCGGGACCCCAACTGGGAGAGGACTCTGTCTGGGACCCAAGCATGTGGGGGAAACTGGAGAGACTGGGATGATAAGGGCAGTGGGAACGTGTTTCCCGAAGCTGCCTGTGCCTCGCTCCCCCCGACAGACTCCTGGCTTTTCTTGGGAGGCCAAGGCTGCTTAGGAACCTGTGCAGGCCCCACTTCCCAAAGTCGGGGTAAAGGATGGGGACCCAGGCGTCCCGGGCCACCCCCCCTGCTCCTGCGCCCACCTGGATCCAGCGGTCATTTCGATTTTCAATCCGAGGGCAGATGATCAGCTTGCAGTTGGTTTTCAACGCTAGGTCAGACATGTCTTCCAGAAATTTCTTATTTGGGCCGTGAGAGTCTGCCACGCTGCAAAACACAGGGAGAGAGGAACATAATAGCGACCTCTGACTACCTTGGTCCCATCCACCACCGACCCCACTCCTGGGACCACCAGCTGCCTAACCAGAGCCTAGCCTCGCTGCCTGGACTCAATCCGAGCTGTCCCACAGGCAGGACACGGTAGAGGCAGGGACACCGATGCTGGAGCCAGTGATCTCAGCACAGGATGGGGCTGACCAGCCCAAGCCAGCCTGCTGCTCTCCCTAGTCCAGCCTGCACCCGTGGGTGACCTCAACGTATCCGTCCAGGGAGTGAGAGCCCAATGGCAGACACAGCATTCTGCTCCTACCTCTACTAGTCCAGAGATGGTGGGGCTGCTGCAGGAGGGGTGAGGTCTCACCTGCATGCATACAGCTCCAGGGGCGGCTGGGTGTTGGGGGTCATGATCCACGGGGCCATGCGGAAGGCCACGGTGTCTGTGAAGAGGGGCACCTCAGGCAGGGTCTGGGGGGGAAATGAGGACTAAGTGGGCCCTGCGGGGAGCCCCATCAGGCCTCAAGTTCCCCCAGTACCCCCGCCTGCCCAGCCCCAGAGACTCCAAACTGGTCCCCCAAACCCTCAGCTTCCACCCCAGCCCCCAACACTGCACATACCTCCGTGTCCACCAGGCTGACACTGAGGGAGACCAGCCCCAAGAAATCAGCGTCAGGGAAGGTGAGTCCCTCCACAAAGAAGCTGATCTTCCGCTCCCCCTGCTGCCGCTCAACTTCATAGGACAGGTGCTGAGGCCCCAGCACCTGCTTGTAGTCCTCCAGAGAATTCCCGCCTAGGGGAAACCAGAGTCGGGGGCCGGCACTGGGACGAGGGGTGGCAGGGAGGAAACCAGGGGCCAGGGATCTGGGGCAGAGCCACCTTCGTGTTAGATCTGCTGGGGCTCCCCTCAAGCCCCACTGCGTGCAAGCTGTGTGACCCTGGCTCAGTGACTCAGCCTCTCTGAGCCTCCCTTCCCCATCTGTAAAATGGGCCAACAGTCTCTCAGGAGGTCAGCGTAAGCTTTAAATCAGATAAAGAGATCAAAGCAGCCCGCACAAAAGGTGGAAAATACCCAAACGTCCATCAACCGATGAATGGATAAACAAACTGTGGTTCTTACATTTAAGGGAACATTTTCCACCCATCAAAAGGAGTGAGGTGCTGACGCATGCTACAATGTGGACGAACCTTGAAAATCAAATGCAAACTGACACAAGGCTACATGCTGCATGATTCCATTTACAGGGAAGTATCCAACACAGGTAAATCCATAGGGACAGGAAGCAGATTACGATACCTAGGATTGGGGGGTGGGGGGAGAGGGTATGGGGAGTGGCAGGTGACGGTGACGGGTGCGAGGTTTTACGTGGGGGTGAGGAAACGGTCTTGCAACTAGATAGAGGTGGTGGTAGCAGAGCATCAAAGAGGAACTAAGTGCCACGGAGCTGTCCACTTTCAGATGGTTAATTTCCTGTTATGTGAATTTCACCTCTGTTTCTTTTTAAAAGCCCCTGGCCTGTAGTAATTTCTTCGCTGCCCTCTTCTGCCCTCCTCTGAGGCTTGTCTGGGAAAGGTCACCCTGGCATGCTCTCATTCAGGGCTTGAAAGGTTATCTGTTCACTGATTGAGACTTTGCTTACGTTCTGGTGTCCCAGTGTTTCCAAGCGGGGCTCTGTGCCTAAACTTCCACCAGTGGTGCACGAGGAGGAACATTCTGGCTCCTGCCAGGTTCAGGCGGCCAGAACAAGTTCTGGGTCAGTTTGAACAGAAGGTAAGGGGGGAAGAAACAAAGGGGCAGGAAAAGCCTCTTTCTATTTATAAAAACGAGTAAAGGCAGCTCAGGGTTAAGGATGGGCATATTTTTTTAAGCCACAGATTTTGATATATAAAATCTGAACATATTTTGTTCAGGTTCTGTTCGGTTCTAAGAGCTGGCCTGGGCCTCAGCTTTGCTAGTTCTCGCTCCCACCTCACCCAGTCCGGACAGAGCCGGGGGTGCATCCAGCGCTCATCCCGTGCTGCCTGACCGGGGTGGGGGGGGCGGGCAGTGGAAAGAGGAGGGGTTTGGTGCTTAAGAGATCTGGGTTCGAATGCCTGTTCCACTCCCCGTTGGTTGTGTGACTTAGAGACAGTGGATTCCTGCGTCTGAACCTCAGTGGCCTCCTCTATAAAATGGGACTCGTTTTCGAACCTCCTTCTTAGGTAGTATGCTGTGAGCTGCTGGGGTGGCTGTTCATCCGAGGTAGAGGCAAGTATAGAAGATGCTGGAGGGGTGGGGGGGATGTGTATAAGAGAAAAAAGAGTTTGGGAAGCAGAGAATGAGCAGAGCCGGGAGGAACGCAGCCCCAGCAGGCCACTCACCCCTAGCACAGAAGACCCCCACTCTTCTGGAATCCAAGAAGGGCACGTTCAGGACCAGCTTGTGGCTGTCGAAGAGCCTGTCTGGGCCGTCACAGCTCAGTACCATGGGGGACATGTCCTGTAGGTCTGCAGAGAATGGCGCCCTTGAGACAGCCCTCCCTGCACCCCGCCAACAGTCTACCCCTCCCCCACTTCCCCCAGCCTCTACTGCCCCAGGCCACTGCCCTGGACGTCCCCACACACCCCTCTGTCACATACCGTCCAGTGATGCTAGCTGGCTGTTGGTGAGGTCAGGCCCTCTGGATGTGACACTGTCCCGGTCACAGTTCACCAGCAGGACAGCCCCATAGCCCTCGGGGCCCCAGCGCCAGGTTTTCTGTGGCAAAACAAGAGGCTTTGGGGTCAGTGGGACCCAGAGGGCCTGGAGAAGGGGCTCTGGAGCTGGCTAGGGCTGGCTCCTTTGTTAACATGGAGACTTCTGTTTTCTGGGTTTGCTTCAAGATCTAAAGAGGGATCATAGGTGTGGGGACTGGAGTTCCAGGTCTCTAGACCCAGATCCACCCCGCACTTGTGTAGTGAACAACCTATGCAACCATACATGGTGGCCCCACCCAGGCATGGCACTGGAGGAGGAAGGGTGGTATCACTCCTTCAAGAGGAAGGGTGTTCCAGAAACAACCTTCACCAGCCCACTGAGCTTTGTCCCTGCTTGGGGGACAGAGGTTTTGCCTGTCAACCCTGCCAGCCTAGGGTGGCCAGGAGAGTGTCACCTTGTCGCCGTGGCTCCTCTTCACCTTGCCCGTGCGATGCGTGTCGACATCGAGGGAGAGGTCTGTAAAGGAGTGGAGAGGGGCACCAGAGGCTCGCCCAGTCCCGCCTCCATGCCCATGATGTCCAGGCCGAGGTGAGCTTCGCCCACGAGACCCAGGAAGACCCATTCTGGGGACCACACCCAATGCCCGGGAGGCCACGTGGCCACCCCCTGTGGTTCTGGATGTTGGAGGGACCCGGTCTCCGGCTCTTGAATGTATTGCCCATCTGTGCATGCTGAATTGCTAGCTCTCGGTGGCCCTCCCCCTGGCCCTTGGAAACGAGCTGAGGCTCTAGGTGCTGGTTCCACTGTTGTCGGAGCCAGCAGCCAGGGCTCTGGCTGAAGGCGGCTCGCGGCTCTCTGAGATTTAGCAAGGACTCTTAGAGTTCCAGTGGTATGACAGGTGGGCCTCCGGAGGAAGGAGGCCTAAGGTGGGTCTAGCTGTCGGCCATGGGCTGTGCAGTTTCTAGATTCTGGTGGCCCTAAGTATTGCTAGGTCTCCATCCCTGACTGAACTAAAGGCCTCTGAAGAAGTTCCTCGAGGTGGAGGAAGATGGCCATGGGCCTTGCACTCAGGGGTTCCCCTAAGACCTTCAAACAGGCAACATGGAGGGGGGCGGGGGGATATACAGGGAGCCAGGGAGGTGGTACTTACCGACGCCAGTGAGGTAGAGCATGCTGTGGCCCAGGACACTGCCCTCATGCTGCCCGAAGTAAGACACCTTCACCTGTGGGGACATCATTAGCCCTAAGCCAGCACGACCACCCTTCAGAGATGGCAGTGGCAAGGGGCCGTGGGCACCCCCCCCCCGCCAGTCCTGCTTCAAGGCAGGGGAGGCCTGGCCATCCCGAGGTGCTCCCCGCTGCAGAAGGTCCAAGATTCCCGGGCTCCTGGCTTGGACTTGGAGCTGCCTTCCCCAGCGAGAGAGGCTGTGGATGCCTCCCAGGCTCCAGGGCCGGGCTGAGGAGCAAGGAGGGCTGAGTAGGGCAGGGAGGGTCCCAGAGGGAGCAGCTGGACCCTCAGGAATCCATGGAGATGTCAGAGAGGAGGAATGAGGGGAGGAACGGCTAACGCCATTGACATCAGCCAGTTACTCAGCCTGTGTAGGCTTCTGTTTCTTCATCTGTAAAATGGGAATAATGACCACACGCCCCCACCCCCACTCCCAATAAAAGCTAATGGTCACAGAGCTTTTCCCATGGTCCGGAACCCATGCCAAGGGCTCTACCCAAGCCATCTCAGTGAGCTCCCAAGATGGCCCCAGGAGACCAGACCTATTCCCAATGAGGCCACTCCCGGCCCTCCCTGCAGGCATGCAGCTAGTAAGCCAGGGAGGTGGGATTTGAACCCATGGCAAGCTCCAGGACCCTTGCTCTCAATAGCTACACAGTCTGCCTTTTCCCTGTCGGGGGAGAAAGGGCCATGTCAGTGAACCCGTGGGTCACTGTACGTGTGGTCGGTGTCTGGGGCTGAGTGATGAGGGGGCTGTCCAGGGAAGAGAAGTCTTTCTCCTTCCTTAGAGGTGAGGACAGGTGCACATCCCGGTGGGCACCTGCATCTCTGTGCATGCGCGCATGCGTGTGCACGGCCGCCGCTAGAGTCCTGCCTGCTACGGGGCTTGTTTTGGGGTCTGTGTGGAGGTTGAACACAGGCGTTCATGTGAGGGTGCCTGTGAATTTGAGGGGGTGAGTAGGCAGGCTGTTTTTATGGGAGTATTCATTCGTGTGTGTATGGGTGACGTTGCAGCCTTGGGGTGGACGTGCATGTCCAGGGTGTCTGTGGCATCAAGATGTGTTGCGTGGATGCAGGTGTCAGAGCCTCATGGGGTTTGGTGGTGCAGGGGTGATGCGATGGGGTTATGCTTGGGTGCAGGGGGGTGGGAGACGCGGCCCCTGACTGTGGAGATGTGGCCTCTTACCTTGAGATCATGTAAGTCCTTACTGGCTGCATCCACGGATACGGTCACCTCCACGTTGGTGTCCAGGGGCCAGTGGGACTTGCCTGTGGGCACCGTCACCCGAGCTGGGTCGTAGACCATGAAAACCTCCACTCCGGGGCTCCCAGAGACTCTGAAGGTCTTGGCCCCCTTGGGCACATCACTGACAGAAAGGAGAGAGGCAAGTTTCCAGGGGGCTCAGGAGAGAGACCACAGTGGGGTAGCGGGTGGGGGCTGCCAAGCTACACAAACAGCACCCCCTAACAGCTGGACTGGGGAGCGGCAGGGGACTGCCACTGGCCAGGAGACCAGCCCAACTGGGCACCAGGCAGCCTGGGCTCCATCCCAGCTCTCCACTGATTCCCACAGGACCCACCCTGGGCACCTCGTCTTGTCCTCTGGCCTCAGCCTCCCCACCTGTAACATAGGGCTTTGCTCTAGCGGCAGGGCCCTTTCGGAGGACCCCATGTGGAACCTAGGACCTAAGACAGACACCAGGGAGCGGAGTATGGGGCCAAACCATAGCATTTAACAACCCCCCTCTAACAGCGGTCCCCGAGGCTCCAGAGAGCAGAGACAGCAAACCCCTGGACAAACTCCAACCCCCATGCCAAGGCTTCCCATTCTGATGCCTCCAAATTCTCCAATCCAATAGGAAACCCCCTTGGTCATCCACCTCTCACCACCTCCACCATCACCACATGATTGCTGGGCAGCCTCCTCACTGGTCTCTGCAGACCCACCTGTGGCCCCCGCCTGTCTGTTCTGCACACGGCAGAACAAAAGCAGTGGTTCCCATTACACTCAGTAAAAGGCAAAGTCCTCACAGTGGCTTATAAGCCCCCCTGTGATCTGCTCCCTGCCACCTCCCTGACCTCTCCTCCCCACGATGCTCCCCCTCGCCTACTCTGCTCCAGCCACACTGACCTTCCCGCTATTCCATGAAGCTGCCTGTCTGTCCTGCCTCAGGGCCTTTGCAGTGGCTGTTCCCTCTGCATAGAATGCTCTTCCCCCAGGTGTCCACAAGGCTCATTCACTTACCCTCTTCAAGGCTCTGCTTCAGTGTCACCTTCTCAGTGAGCCCCCATCACCCCATTTAATGCTGCACCTTGCCCCCTCCGTCTCCCCCTCCTCCCTATCCCTCTCACTCTGCTCTGATAGCTAGGCCCCCCACGTGGAGCCCATACCCTAGAGGGGAAGTTGGACAACAGCACTAAGTGTCCGTGTTTCTCCCTCCCCTGCGTGTCAGGGCTCTCCCTCTGCTGTTCCCCAGGACAGAGCCATCAGCCTCACGGTCACCACTTAAGGTCAAGTCCACTTACTAGACATCCACCTGACGGCAAAGATGCTGGGCCAGAGGGGTCCTTTGATGTATCCTCCGGCCTTTATCCTTTCCTGGACCCCTGAGAACCCACCCAGACATTAAACCCTCTGGAAAAACCAAACACCCTTCCACAGCCCCCACCATGGTCACCTGTGCCCATCAAACTGCCCCCAAAGACAATGGTTGACGGTGGTCATAGTTACAACCCCAAGCCCTACTCAGCGCTTGGCTCCCTGATGCTCGGCAAGACAGTTTTCACTCTCTTCACTTTACAGATGCGGCCGGGGCGGAGAAGGGCCCTGGGTCCCTGCAGGCTGCCGGCAAGACCCACCCACACCACCCCACATCCCCGTGCGCCGTGGTACCTTCGGGAAGCCCCATCCTGCATGCCTTTCATCCTTGTTTAATCAGTTGCCATAGGAACCCAAGTACCCCAGACACTCATCCTCTAATCTGACCCGATCTCCCATCCGCCCCCACTCCCAGACAGTCCCACAGACCATCACCCGCACGGTGGCCTCAACCACATCTCAGAGTGTGTCCTTGACCTTCATACTACCACAGAAACCTGTTCCCCGCAGTGGGCAGGGACCCCCCGCCCCGCAGCCCTCTCAGTGGTGGCCACTGCTCCCCCCCACTCCCCCTACCCCCGGGCCCAGAGGTGGGCAGGGGTCCGGCGTGCTCCTCCCTGTCGTTGCCACATCATTGTCACTCTGCCCCCATTCCTGGAGGGGGTCAGCTCCTGCCACTCTCCTGTGTTGCTGCCCCCACTTATTATTTCAGCAGCCCCTTGGGTGATGGGCGAGACCCTGGCGCCTCAGCGCCTGACCGACCTCCTCTTCCAGCAAGCCTGGCCCCTGCCCTCAGCCACCCGCGCCCCGGGCAGACCCCGGACTTTGTCATTACCGAGAACTGCGCCCACCACACACTCCCCTATCCGCAGCCCCACCGGTACCACCGGCCAACCAGCCAGCTCACTTCTCCAACGCGCCAGCCCCATCGAGCCCCCAGCCCCGCCGGGACCCGCAACCACTGAGGGCGGACACCTCTCTAGCCCCTCTGGGCAGCCCTGGCCCTTCCTGGTCACAGGCTCAGAATCCCCAGCCCACCTCACGGTCACTCCCTGGCACCGCTCAACATTTCTACACACCTTCCCCTCCCTCAGACTGCCTAAGCACCGCCCCAGCGCCCAGAAAGCCCCCTCCCTCCTCCCCACTCTGCCCCTGCACTCCCGCGGCTGACCGCGTCCCACTCAGATTCCTGACCACTGACCTTAGGTGACCCTTGCCACTGCCCACAGCCTGACAACATTTCTGGGGGCTGGAGACCCGGGGAGGGAGGGGCTAGGGTATCAGGCCCGTCTTGGGGCTCCATCTCCTGGGCCCTGGGGTCAGGTCTTTGGTCTCAAGCCTGCCGATAAGGGCTCCAGCTCTGAGCCCCAAGGCTTTGGGGTCTGGGCTTCGGGATCAGGGCTGTGCGTTCTGACATCCGAGAGGAACTGGTGTGCAGCATCAGAATGAACTGGGGCCCAAGACGGGGACGGGACTGGGCTGCCCCAAATTTCTCCCTCCGTTTCTTGCCTACAACCCATCTGCCTGAGGTGGAGAGGTGGTGGGAGGTGACAGCTCGGACACCCACACCTTCGTCTCTTCGGCTCCTTTCCTCCACGGGGAAGCGCCTCAGGAGTTGTGCGAGTTTTGCATGCTGGCTGCCCAATCCTGTCTCCCCGTTGTCCCTGTAACCTGCCGCCAGTCAGGCCCTCCTCCTCGCTGTGCCATTGAAACTGCTGTGGTGCCAAATCCAGAGGTCCCTTCTCTTCTTCCTCTGGAGACCCGCCAGGGGCATCTGACCCAGATGATCGGCTGTCCTCCTTGAAGCACTTCCCACCTGGCCTCTGGGACACACGGCTCTCCTCTCCTCCCCAGGCTTCTCCTTGCTGCCCTGCCCTCCTAACTGCAGGGTGCCCCAGGCAGCGGGCTGGCCCCCGTTAACCACCAGCAGTTGGGGGGGGAGGGGATAGTTAAGTTGGTTATTAGTTTTACTGATACAAATGGTGTGTAGCACGCAGTATACTAACAATAGTACAATATATGTTACTCTTCATCATAAAGTTACTTGTAAATCCTATAAATCCCCCCAATTCTTACAGAATGCTTCTCAAAACCACAGCCAAACCATGCTGGCCATTCAACCACAACTCCACAAATGGAGTTACATCCCAATCTGCTCGTTCTTTCCCCCCAAAATTTGTCGTCATGAAATTTGATGCGTGACATAAACACGGACTGATACTTTCGTTTGTGTTCAAGAATAAAATGAAAGCGAAGCCGTGGAGATAAACATCACTCCATCGGTGGTGATATGAGCAACTTCTCTGCTGAGCCAGCTAATGCTGGACGAACACTTCCCTCACTTTTTGTGCCAATCACAACGTAACACACTTCTAAATTTAATCTGCGTTCATCTCCTTTTCTTCATCAAAAAAAATAAATAAATAAATGGGAGTCCTGATTTGTAGACTTTGCCAATTCCCATGGTCTAGAGACTTCCACCAATGGCCAATTTCAAGTTACCAATGCAACATCATTGAACTCAGAGTTACAAAGAAATACAATAGCACCCCGTATATAATTATTTCTCCCATACAGAGGTGAATGATCACGGAGCATAGATCCTGGTAGAGCGTAATAAAATAGTAAGGAAGCGGTGCATTCTGATTATTGTCTTTTTTTTCAATATAATTTATTTACTTGTAAACATATAGAGTTTAATTTCAAATACTGTCATGGCGGGGCACCTGGGTGGCGCAGTCAGTTGAGTGACCGACTCTTGATTTTGGCTCAGGTTGTGATCTCAGGATCATGAGACTGAGCCCTGCATGGGGCTCTGCATTCAGTACAGAGTCTGCTTGAGACTCTCTCCCCCTCTGCCCCTTCCCCTTACGTGCGCTTGCATGCGCGTGTGCTCTCTCTCTCTCAAAAATAAATGAATAATTTTTTAAATAAAAAAATTAATAAATACTATCATGGCTGTGTTTGGCAATAGGCTCATAAACTTCCTATAAAATGGACAATCAGGTCCTCCTGGGGAAGGACCCTCCTGTACAACTAAAAGTGCGTTCTATTCACCTCTCTCCCAGCCTTCTCCAAAGGAATTCACAGCCTTTAACCAGGCGAACGTACACTGGGGAAAAGGAAATAATCGGACTTTTCCAGCTTTACTGGACACTGGCTCTGAACTGAGGCTAATTTCAGGAGATCCACATGTCATGTCCACCTGTGAGTCAGAGTAGAGGATTTTAGTGGTCAGGTAACCAATGGGTTTAGCTCCGGTCCGGCTCCCAGTGGGTTCACTGGGTCTCCGAACCCATTCTGTGGTTTCCCCTACCCCCTCCGTTCCAGAATGCACAATTAGAATAGCACTCAGCAATAGGCAGTCATTCCTATGAGTGTGTCCCTGCTGGCTCCTACCCACCTGGCCCCAGGGCTTGGTGCTCAGTCCTCTTGTCTGGTGACACTCACCCCCTTGATGATCTCCACCTGCCACATTGATATGCTTAGAACCCCTACTTTCCATCTCCAGACCCTGATAGCTAATTGCTTTTCTTGAACATCTCCCTTGGGTGTCTAACAGGCACTTTAAATTTAATGTGTCCATATATACTCCTAAAGGGAACAATCCAACAAGAAGATACAACAATTGTAAATATTTATGTACCCAACCTGGGAGCACCCAGATACATAAAGCAGCTAATAACAAACATAAAGGAAGTAATTGGTAGTAATACAATAATTGTATGGAACTTTAACACCCCACTTACATCAATGGATGGATCATCC